GCCAGGCATGAAGAGCTGTTCCTATTTGTGTCTGTTCACGTCAGCTCAGTTAATTGTTGTCTTTGCATCTCAAAAGCAGCTGAGTAGCATCATTCAGCATAATCCACTTTATGGGCATGTATCTTTGCTCATACCTACAATTTTACCATCATACCACAATCCTGACTCAAAATGTACTAGGTTGCATTATGCCAGCCTCTTGGGGGGTTACGGTGATTGGGTCTAGTTAGCAAAAGCTACACCCCAACCAAGGCAGAAAACCATAGCTCCATGCAGACTTGACTTGCAAAGCAGTTTTGCTTACCAGCCCCAGTCTCTAAAAGATGTGTTCTCTGCCTGTCACTTGAGAGCTGCCCGAGGAGAAGAGCTCTGCTGTCCCCTTTATGATGACCTTTCCAGGGAGCAGAAGTAAATGTAAGAAGTGACCTTTGTTGTGTTCCTTATGTAAGAGGATCACAATATAAGGGACAAGGAGAAATGGATGAAGAGATAGGTGGCAGAAATGCCTGTGTCATGTCATTGTGAATGTAGGCAGTCATTGTTCCACAAACCTGTGCTCCACTGCTGTTTAAGCACCATTTACTGAAAATAACACGCTAATGGCAGGGCAAGTCATAGCCAGTAACTATAACAACACGCTTCTCCTGCACTGCAGCCGTGCGTGTCAGGGGTGTCTTGGGAGAGGAAGAAATTAGTGTGTTTACATGTGGAGCGTATGAGAGCCAGGAGCATGAACCACCTCTCTCTAAAGGCACATGATAGATGAGTGTGCTGAGCAGCGATGTGCTTGAGATGCATTTCCTTGTAGGTTTACCTCCAAGCAAGGTTCACTGGTTATTTTAAGAACTTTTCTCCTCAAATATCTTCTGACACGTTAAAGCCACGTTTTTGTGTACTGATCTGTGAGTCCCTTGATAAAGCTGGGAGAAGACTTCACCAGTTACAGCCAAAATAACTCTATAGCTAATAATATTAGAGCTGTTTTGAAAGATACTGTCGCCTCTGGGAGATTTTGGGGTCAGTGGAAGTCACCATGGTGCGAGCATCTTACAGTGGGAAGACCACAGAGATGTGCTGGTATGCTTCACCCCCAGGCTTTAAGGGGCTCATTCTCTTCTTCAGATCAGAGCTAACCTCTCCTCAAACGTGCTGCACCATGCTCAGAGGTGCACTTGCACTGTTTTATGCTGTCAGTGTGCAAGTGTGGTGCAGGGTGCAATGGAAGATGCCTGCTTGCAGAGCAGGCAGTGATGAGACAGCCCTGCTCACCCACCACAGTGCAGGTAGGAGCTTCGCTGACCTCCGTGGGACATGGTCTGGACTCGGCCCAGCACTGAGGGCTGAATTCTCAGGGAAATAAAGGAAAATTCAATTATCAGCTCAAAGCAGATCAAATAACAAAAGAGCTTCTATAGGTCTGTGATTTTTACAAGCTCACTTGTTCTTTCCAAACCTTACGTAATTTACTCCCGTTAATCCTCCAAGCTTTTTCAAATCAGAGTTTGCTTTGGCCAGTCTCTTTGTATCGCTCATTGGTCACTTAAATCATCGGATAGTTTGTTTTTCCCCAAATAGATGACAGACATTTGGAAAGCAAACAGCCTATTCATGAATATTAAGAGGAACAACAAAGCAAACTAATATTCATGGCACCTGGAGGGTATGCAGGTGGTGCTTTTCCTGAGGAGATTTGTACTCAGTGAATATGTATTCTCCAGAAAAGTGAGCTTAATCTGGAGCTTTGATAGTTATTGTTTGCTTTTTGGCACAGTGAGCAAGCTGATGTTGTACTGCATAGAGGCAGAAGAGTAGTATGTGTGTCCTGCAGACAGATTAGCACAGCAATCCACACTCAGGTGTTCCACAGGGTGAGTATCATCTTACTTAAATAAGACAACAAAGCACTGAATAACTATCAAAAAGACTGGGGCTGGGTTAGAAATAGTAGAACTCAGCACATACAGATGCAGTATTAACTTTAGACTCACTGAATCAGGTGGCTCATCTTTTTGGGGTAGGAATGTTAAACTGCAGAGTTGTCTCTCCACAGGACAGGTCCAATACATATAAGGGCAAAACGGGACATGTCAAAACCAGAGATCTGAATGGGGTCCTATGGGGGTGGAATTAAGAGGGAACTTCAAATTACTGCTTTCCTTGGTCCATTACTGTAGGAGCGAGGCAATGGATATGTGAAGCCAGCTGAGTAAATTATCTTTCTTAGTAAAATCTTCTGTCTCCCAGCCTATTCAAACTTTGAGGTTTGCCTTTTAGTTCCCCCCTTAAAAGTCATACAGAATTATTTTTGCTGTACAAACATCAGTACAGTGAGTTGTGTGTTCAGCCAGGCTGGAGTCTGCACCTAAGCTGCACCAGCAAAGAACAGGAAACACAAAACTCACATTTTCCTCTGTATTTGATTCCCTTTCTATTTGTCATTAGTAAAATCATCATCGTGCATTTTGAAGACCACTAAAATCAGAACAAGCTTTCCCCCTGACTCCAGGAGAGCTCTTCAGGGGCATTTTCTTCACAGCACTTGTGTGAGTTCAGTGAAGAGGCCCTAGTTCTCCACTAAACACGATCGCAGCTCTCAGGGCAGCACGTTCAGTTTGCACACATCCCTCTTGCATCATTTTTTGCCTTGCTACAGTGGATGTGTTTGCAGCACACCAGGCACAGTCTGTGCTGACTGCTGAGCACTCTTGCTGTTCTTTAAGGAGCTGTGATCAGTCGTCTGAGTTCCTGCACCCTCATGGTGTAGCCATAAGCACCTTTATGGGTAGCTGTTTTCTTCACAACAATCGGGGCTAACATCAAATGTTTACAGAAGGATGATACTAGCATCTCTCTGCTATCTGCCAAAATTAGCAATTTGCTCATGGCAGATGGCTCCAAATTAATCTGGTTCACAGATGGGACTACAAATGCGATTCCTCAATAATGAGAGTAAAAAGAAAAGAGATCTCAGTATTTATGACTGTGATTTAGTTTGTTGCAGTGGACCAGAGGCCTGAATCAATGAGACCTCAACAGATACCTGTCCATATGGCTTCCAAAAGAAGGAGTTTTACAGAAATAAACCCTAGAAGAATATGTTTGTGAAGAGGAAATTATAGAGAATAAAAGGCAAGTTTTGAGTCTTAGTTGCTAATCCTCAGATACCTGCTGGTGGAAGGTGCTGCACTTGATAGTATTAGTGAACTTCAAATTTGACCACAAAAAATCCTTTTCCAGATGAGCTGATGAGTGAAAATCTGCCTTAATCTTTGTGTAAATATGACAGTTTAAAAGCCTAGAGGCAATCTTTAGTGAACCAGGAGTTAAGTTGCATTAAACTGTTTTATTCTTGCCCAAGTCCACTAACTTTCTTAATCCAATGCGGTTTAGCTTAATTTTCCTCCTCACATAGGGTTCTTTATATGCAGAGCCCGGTGGAAAGTTTAGCTCTTACCACCAACAGCCCTTGATTTCTGCAGACTTGCTGATACTTATTACATGTACAGGCTCATTACCAGCATTGTCAGCCCTGTGCTATCACTGACAGGGCTTTTTAAGTCAAAAGAAACAGATCAGTTGTCAGATACCTCCTGACATAAAAGGCAGATTCTGCAGGCAATTGGAGAGAAGAGTTTTAGAAGCAGTTGGTGTTCCTCATGCCCTGGCATGTCTCATCTGCAGGCAAGTGCACAGAGGTGCCCTGCGGCAGGACCGGGGGTTGTAGCTGTGAGAAACATCATCCTGTCTCATTACCTAAAGAGAGAATTGTGGACTTCCCTATAGCTGTTAAGCCTTGCAGCACTAGCTCTTAGCCTAGAAGCCGAGGATGGATGTGGGGACATCACTTGTGTACAGGGTGTACAAATGAGTCTTGCTTACATGGTGGTGATAGATATATAATGCAGGGAGCATTACAAAGGTGTGAGGTACAAGGAAGTGATCAAATTAAGGCCAAAGAGCAAGCAGACCCTTGTACCCCTTCTGCAGTGCTAACCATTGCCTACCAGCAGTATCTGTGTTTTTCCTTGAGTTTAAAAGGTTTGGCTAATTCAGGAAGGCGTTGCTGACACCTGGGCATCTGTATCGAGGAATTCTATAGGCATGACCTGTTGTCACTGGATTCCTGCTGTCAAGCACTAAGTGAGGGTAACAGGCTGAGTGGTGTGACTCAGTGCAGATACTGTGCCCTTTGGTATGACTCAAACCAGCCATTTCCATGTTAATATGAGAGGTCCACAATGAAAAGGGAAGGCTGAACCTGTTAGAAACACAGGTTCTGAAGAATAGAAGCAGTTAAGAAATACCGGCCTCAAGTTCTCAGCACAAAAATATTTGAAAGGCACACTAAGGAAGAAAGATTGTGTCTGAAAACAGAAAACTAGTTGTTACTGCTCCAAAGCCTAATGGCTCTGCTTGCATCCAAGCTTTTCATTATTGGTATTGATGCAGTAATAATTCACAGCTACAGTTAACATGCCTTTGACATTGGCGGCTGCCTTCAGAATGATTCCCATCTAATTAAACTAAGCAACAGAGAAATCAAAGACCACTTCAGTTAATGATTACATTTAACTGGGAATTTTTTTCCTCTCTCCCCACTGCCTTCCTCTGTGGATAATCTTAAACCCTTGAGAAGGAGGTGTGAGGTAAAATGAAGAACTCTGGTGATGTATTGTGTAGACCCAATGAGTAGCACCAGAGCTAGGGACTGCAGGCTGCAGTGCCAGCTACCAGATATCTGAAAGTGGCAAAGAAGTCACTGGCTCCTTCCCCTAGGCCAACATGGTGTTATTAGCTCCTAGGAGAGCTGATGGGGTCAGGGCAAGAGCTGCACTGCAACATGCACAGGCATGTCGTGCTTTTAGGTTAACATACAGACAGGTGGAAAAGTTGGGAATGCACTGTTACACAAGGTGCTTCCCAGGGAGTTCTCTGTATTAATGTGTTGGAGTGATCTTAGCACTTGTCTGCATTGGACTCTCTATTGATCTGTTGATGAGGGTTTTAAGTTTCGGAAAACCATATTTCATTACCTATGCAGCATCCATGCATGTGCCGAGTTTATTCACCACCCTTTGCTCATGAGCCCTTATTTCAGCACTAGCTGCTCCCTTACATCACAGAACACATGGTTTTGCCTCTGGTCTGTACAACTTCTGAAACCCTTGAGGGGCTTTTGACATGGCTGTCTAGATTCACTAATACAAATATGCAGGAGAATCTGCCTGGTGCAATCGTTGCAACCCTTTTTCCAAGGGAAGCTTCTTTACATAGGGAAATTAAATGGGCGTTACAGGATCCTCCAAAACAAAGCTCTGAGATCCATAAAGAATTGCAGGATAGTTTAGTAGAAGTCCCCTAGTCCTTATCTGGCTGTTGAATAGAGCTGTGCTTGGGTTTGCAAAACAGAATGGAACCTTTATGGCTTGTTTATCCCTGTGATGGACAGTCTTTTGGTTGCAGTGGGGGTGTGTTAGCATCAGAAATAAGAAACAGTCACTGCCTGAGTGGTAACAATAAAGGAAGATCACAACCACGCAGATTTTGTTCTCATGCGAGACCCTGCCATCTGTCTAGATTGTCATTTCTTTGCTATCACAAATTCAGGGATCTTTTCGGAAGCCACGGTGTCTTCTTGGTTAGTATCAGAATGCCAAAAGCACAGCTCAATAGTCAGAAAGAGGAGAAACGCAGCCTCCTGGTTTGTGAGCATCAAGATGTGCTTGTGCAGCATCAAACAGCGCTGGGCTGGCACCAGATGCAGCCACTCGCTCCTCCTTGTGATGATGTCTTATGATTTAATCTCTTTCTTTTTTTAAAGGCATGTGATTGAATAGGAACACAACCCCACTTCTCCTAAGCAAAAAGCCTTCCCTTTTCAAGCCCTTTTAGCAACATATTACCTCACCTAAACTTAATGAAACATCTCTCATCCATACACGGTAATAAATTACAGGAAATAGGCACATTTTATGTACAAAGATGACATAGAAGGCTATAGATAGCATGATTATTGGCCTGTATTAGCACATCTTGTCCTTGTTACCATTAAGAAGAGAAAATAGAGGCCAGATAAAACTAAAAACCTGGATGACTTCCAAGGCCTTAAATGTAGTTATGGACTAGACTAGGTAAGCTCTTAAAATTCATTTCCAAACTTAAAAACATTAAAAATGTTTAGGATGTAGTTTTTATTTTTACTCAAAGCAGCTGCTCCTATCACACAGTAACTCTTAAACTGACCTGAAGGTGAAAAAAATGAACAAACAGCATTTTGTATTGCCAAATGAGGGAGCAAAATAAACCCAACCCAGCTTCAGGCATGTGTAAACTAGTCTGCCTGTCCAAGCTGCACAAGACAGCTAGATTTACTCTCATGTCAGCCATACTGGACTTACACCTGGGATGGTATCAGGGGGTCCAGCAAGCAGCCAGGGAATCTCTGTACAAGGCTCTGGTAGATCCATAACATGCTGCGAGCCAGGTTCTGATGTCACTAACACCATGTAATGCCTGGATTTGTAACAGCCCCAAACTTCTGTCCCTTGTTTGTTTTACTGGAGGAGTGAAGCTAGCCCCAGGCTACATAAGCATATAAAAACTAAGATTCGTTTGATGGTTGGGCATATCATAGAGATAATACAACGGAACATGTAAGTTGTCGCTAACAATGAACTTCTCAACTGCTCTTGCAGAGTCATAACCAGGAGAGGGTGCAATTGCTCATGGCACAACACTGGTCTTGCTTCTCTAGGCAACGGTAGGCACTCGGCAGTCCCTCTTCCGGCTGGGTTCAGTAGTTCTTAGCTGGAGCAAGACGCAGGAATTCAAGGCAAAGCAGACCTCGAGATTGCACTTCATTTAAATAGAAGAGGTTCAAACACAAACCAGGTCTTTAACAGCACCCCTCTGTGACTTGGAGAACCAACTCCACACTGATTGTGCTCTTTCTTCATTTCATCCTCAAGTGCCTCATGTTACTTCCTCCTCTCGCATCAGAAAGGGAGAGTGGCTTAGAGGAGAAAGTGCTCTGTCTGGAACAAGTTGCCACAGGCCATTTAAATGCATATTTACAAAATCCTTTCCTTCTGAAGGCTTCTCTCTGGACTCCTCTGTTTTAATCCCCAACAGAAGAGACGTTATTATATAGCGTCAACCACAAATGATGACATCTTTTGACAATCTTTCTGGCTGTGCTGCATTTCCTAAACACATGGCTGAGCACAAGCTCTGATGCACTTCTGCCACTGTCAGATGCACTAAGTTTCATTTCAGCTCTGAAAACTAATCCCTTGGGTCTACCTCCATTTTCAGACACATGAATAAGAAGCTAAATTAAAGCTTGAAGAATCTGGAGCAGATATATCTGTATTTTGCTTCTGTTTATTGGTTGCAGAGAAAAATTTTGATTATACAGATATCACAAACCTATTTTTTTCACATTATTTCAGTAGGAACACATTGCATCGTGGTTTTTTAATCAAAGATACCCATTTCAGTGTTAATATATGCCATCTGGTAAACGGGTATCAGAATTTTGCTTGCTACAAGGCACTAAAAGGTATTAATGTTCTCCATTCTGCAGTACCAGTCTCAGGAGCAGAGACTTTATGTGGAGTTACAGGCATGTAGGTCAGTGAGCAGAAGGAGCCTTTTCTTTAGCTGGATATTCTGGGACAGCTGTACTGAAATCACTGGAATACTTCAATAACAACAGTAGAGCTTGCCCAAAAGTACTTCTGTAACCACCTGTGCTTTATGCCGGAGTTACAAACTTGTTCATAACCAGTACAAAAGCCCTTGAAGTCCATTACTTTGTTACCCATTTGCGGTGTTCATTATATTTCATTAACCAAATTACATCATTTCAGTCAATGAATTGCTCTTTAGAGAAAAAACAACCTCACTATTAATACAGATACTGTCATTACTCTGATAGAAGATGTCTCTCAAGGCATCTCTGATTAAGATACTTGGTTATTGAAACCTGCACCACTGCATCAACCAAAATGAATGCTTAAATTCATAGCGGCATGTAACATTTTTCTGAAGTCCCACATGAGGAAACAAATGTCCCTGAGGTTCTGTCAATGAAAGAATTTGTTTATGGGTTTAGTCAATGAGCAGCGTTCAGCTGGATATGCCAGTCACAATACTGATGTTTTCCAAGACCCTTTTGCTGGTAACACGGCTGACCCGCAGTCTGGCAACACTGACTGCATCTCTCTGGCTCTATTTATAGAGCTGCAGCGAAAGTACCACAGGATTGTGAACAAAATCACAGTCACTGCTAAAGCTCCACCCGACCACTGAGCACAAAAGCCTTTCAGAATGACAGGAATCGGCTGTGCCCGTTACATGCTTGTGGATGACAAACACGCCTCCCCCATAGGGCTGCATGCAGGAAAGCAAACTAGAAAGGGGGAATCATTGCTCAGTAAGTTACCCAGGATTCCAGTTCAATAAATGTTAAATTTGAAGTTTTCCAGTGAGGTTGCACAAGTTGGTTTTCTTTAATAAAACACTGTTTTGGCAATTAAAGTATTTTATAACGTACAGTTGTACCAAAGTTACGCTAGCTGAAAATAATGCAGAGTAATATGTGTACTGTTTATTATGGTCATACTTACAGTTTATTACACTGGTCCAGGTGAGGTGCTAGCTTATAGAATGGAGATGGCTTGAAAATGGGGCAGTTCCACCTGTAATGGATAAAAGCATTATTATTGTCAAGCAAAAGTGGAAAAGCTCTCGATGCCAGACAGGACACTTACTTAAACTGCCTCTGACACAAGAAACAGAGATTAAAAACAGCTTCAGAAGGTAAAGGATCCTTTGGTTAGTCTTTGCTTTACTTTCTAGATACTCGCTTTCCAGATCAGGTCTGAAGCACGGACGAGTTGTTCTCTAGGGAGACTGCAGCTGTGAGCACAAGTAAAGGTGAACACTGAGGAGACACCTGAGTATGAAGGGAGCCTAGGAGGGGTACCAGGCCAGAATCAGGACTATCAGGATGGAAAGGCAGAAAAGCATACATAGAGACAGAGAACAGGAAGCCATCCCCAAAACAGCCATTAAACACAGCCACACTCTCCTTGGAGTTCAAGATTCTGAACTTAACTGGCAAATTCCTTTGCCAAGAGCAGCTTATTTTCACTTAGTCATCCTTTTTATACATACGCACAGATAAATGGCATGCTGTAGAAAGGCTATAGCTTGCTTTTAAATCTGGTGGTTAAACCGGGATGCTACCTTCCATGGTCCATAAAAAGCAGGCAGAAGATACATTTGTATTAGTCTTTTAGCTTGGTTGAGGAGCATATTTCTGAGCTATATCTCCTTAACCTCCCCGTTGACTGTGCTTCGGTTCACAACGCTGCACAGTCTCCGAGCACTAAACAGCACTAAACCAGAGCACGTGCTCCAGGGGCCCTCGAACACCAGACTAGGTTAAGTCCAGAGTAAAACTCCTGAAAGACCTACAATAAGGCCAATGGGTCTTCAGTACTAGGTTTGGGGTGGGGGGTTTGCTCTGTATTTCTGCTCCTCTTACACTGTACTAGTTACTAACATAGGCAGAGATTCTTACTCTTCCTATCCAGAGCTTCTTTCCAGCAGTGCAGTATTTACTGGAAAACTTGGTTTTTACGGGAGCTAATCCTTCATTTTCCTCTCAAATTCATTAAGCTTCTTTCTTTCCCCCCAGTCTTTTAAATAAAGGAGATTTTTCACTCACTGCAGTGCCATTCAGAGAAGCAGCGGTGGTAAGCAGCCTACCTTTATGAGGGTTGAGTCTAGAAAGACGGTAGCAAGCATTCAGTCACTTGGTAATGGTAGTTAATTTCTTCAGTGAACATTACCAAGATGAAACATAGACAAGGCACATGCTCCTATGCAAGTAGTGGCAATAAGGTTCTGAAGGACTCAGCTTAACAGCTTGTGTCAGGTGATGAGGTTAATGGAAAAGAATGTTATTCAGGTCACCTAATGAAAATAACCTTGGTAGAGCTTAGCAGAGCCCTGGGGTAGAATAATTTATTCCTCATCTGCTTCCATCACTGTAAGTTAACCAAAGACATAGAAGCAACTGATTTAAACATGCACTCAGCCTGTCAGAGTAGTGCAGAAGGAACATCAGCAATTACAACGCATTGTCGTCATCTCTGCTGCCCCTCCAGTGATGATACACAGAGTACATCCCTCTGAGCAAAGGCTCGCTTTGCATAGCCCCATCTTTAAAACCACTTTGTTAAGATGCAGGTTACCAAAGCACTGTGCAAGGGGACAACAAAAATACTGACCACGAGACAGGAATGTTTTAGCCAATGCATGGCCTTTGGAGCAAGCAGGCATGGAAAAGAGGCCACAGCAGCCGTCGTCCACACTGTTCTGTCTGGTGTTTCGGTGGTTTGGTTTGCTGCTGAGCTATAATCAGAAATAAGCTTCAGCTCCTATGATTGAGGCATTCCACTGATCTGCTCCCAGGGAGCCTCTATGTCTCTGCACCACCATTTCCCTTCTCATCTCTTAATTAAAAGTACTGGAAGCTGCTGGGGAAAACATGCCTTCCACACAGCAGCCTAAGCCCAAACAAAGCAGGGCTCCAGTTCAGGACCTGTGATGTGAGCCAGAGTAAGGGATTTAACATCACTTGATAGATAGCCCCAGTTTGATTCCTGACCTTGGGACAACCATTTTGGGAGCCCTAGATACAGATTTAGGAAGCTTTAGGAGTAGGCAGGAGCAGGCAAAATTAACACTGTCCCCACCTGCAGCATTACTACCTGTCTGCAAGCGCCCATTTCATATTCTGAGCAACACAAGCACCTCACCGGGGTAAAGCTGAAAATCCTTTTCACAGCCCTGGGTACAGTAACTTCCATATAGAAAAACAAGATGAAACTTGACAGTAATAGGAATGATAGAGGGGGAAAACATTCTTCCTTTGAGGCAGAGGCTCTGAATACAGCAGCCAGTGACTGACTGGCAAAGGAGGGGAAGCGAGATAAATGCAGCTATTCAGGGCTTAAAGAAATTTGCTTCTAAGAGCGAAAAAAGAAAAGCCTTTACCTTTCTCTTGACATTTAACAAAGCACCTAAACAAGCCAAACAAAGCAAGTCAAAAAAACCTCACAAAGGGAGCTGCTTTTGGCTGTTTGTTACTTGAAATACATTTACCCAACCTTGCTAAGAGACACCAAGCCCTCCATGACCCACAGCAGACCCTCATCACCGTTCTCTTTTCTTCCCATGGGCTGTATTTGTAGGCTCCCCCCTGGCAGCCTCTGTAGGGACCAGCCTCCTTAGCAAATCCTCTTTACACCTGTGTGTCTGTTGGCTGCCACAGATTTAACTCCTCATGTGCTACATCCAGTGTAACAAACCTGTAGGATTCCCCAAGATACCTCCAGCCACCCAAGTGAGCCCTGGTCCAGCAAATAACCCTGTACCTCAGTGTGGGGCTGACCTCTGGGGGAGCGCTGTGTTGTCAACACAAACAGAGGTTTATCAATCAGCTGCAGCCCAGGAGTCTTTAGCTCTGTAGTGCTGTAGAGGCACTTAACTCCCAGGGAACTGAGATTCAGAGGTTAGAGCTTCACTGTCTCATAACCAGTCTCAGGCACAGCCTACAGAAGGATTTCTAGCAGGTTACTTCCTGCTACTTTGTCGCCTCTTTACTTCTGGTTTTTCACAGGCTGACTCATGTTTCCTATCATTAGGACTCTTTGACAGTAGCTTCTCTGAAACACCTCTGACATTTGCGAGGGGAAGTGGGCCTACTGTTCACCGAACCCAGCAATCACCCCCTGAGCAGCAGGATGCCAACTGCCAGGGCAGGAGCGGTGGGCACACGGAGTACAGTATGCTTGAGTAATGATTAACACACAACAAAGAGAGCTGCCTCTGCTGCAAATGGAAACACACTGTGTGCTTCGGATGTAAGAGCATTTTGGTCTAATTTTGTGCTCTGCATATAGTAATAAGTCACAACAGGGTGTGCATTAAGCTCATCTTTTGAGAAGTGCAACAGTAGCTGAATAATGCACACCCTGGAGTGTCTTATTTGTAGTGGACTATGGCTCATTAATTTTACATTTAGATTTTTTCAAACCCATTAAAAAAGAAACAAACCACCAGACCTGTTCTAAGGGCAGTTATGTGATGTATCCTGCCACAGAAAGGTACGTTCACATAAAAACAGAGGGCAAAAGGTGAGGAAGAGCTTTGCTCAACTGCAGGTCAGTGTTTGGTTTGGTTTGTGCAAGGCCATCTGCAAGCATGTTCTTGGCATGCCAATGCAGCTATATAATGCAAATAATTACAGTTATTGAAGTCTATTCAGTGTTCACTATTTTCTAGACTTTCCTTTCTTTTTGTGTAATTACCTAGGTCTTTTGCCTTTCTTTTTCCATACAAAATTCCACCTTCGGCTGTGTGAGCCAACACCCATTTCAGGACAGGTAGAAAACATTCAGGTGGGGATGTGACTGCCTTTTACAGCAGGCTGGGAACTGAATCGTCACAGGTTCCTGCTCAGGAGGCAGACAGGCATGATTTGGGAGAAGATGGTTTTGCCGGAATAGGAGAGGTGTGAGTGTGCATGGATACAGCAGGGTTTAAAGAAGAGAGGGCGTTCTAAAAGCTCTGCTTTGTTATGGCGTCACTTCAAAAGCATGAAGGAGGGACATCTGATTTTTGCTGTTCCACATGAAATATGACTCTGGTTTATCCCTTTGTATAGGTTCCAACCTTGATGATGGACACCCAGTTTTCGGAATTCACTCCAGACATCACCCCAATAATGCTGGCGGCTCACACCAACAACTATGAAATCATCAAACTGCTTGTCCAAAGACGGGTAACAATTCCACGCCCACACCAGATCAGATGCAACTGTGTGGAATGTGTCTCCAGTTCAGAGGTGGACAGCCTGAGGCATTCCAGATCAAGGCTGAACATCTACAAAGCCTTAGCCAGCCCTTCGTTGATTGCCTTATCAAGTGAGGACCCCATCTTGACAGCTTTCCGACTGGGCTGGGAGCTCAAGGAGCTCAGCAAAGTGGAAAATGAGTTCAAGGCTGAATATGAAGAGCTTTCACAGCAGTGCAAGCGTTTTGCCAAGGACCTTTTGGATCAAGCGCGGAGTTCCCGAGAATTGGAGATCATTCTCAATCACAGAGATGATCAAAGCGAAGAGCTGGATCCCCAAAAATGTCATGATTTGGCAAAGCTAAAGGTAGCAATAAAGTATCACCAGAAAGAGGTAAGAGTCATCTAAATGTGAAGGTGTGTGAAGGCTTTGTCTGTTGGGTAAAATAACTTGTATCTCCAGTCTTCATGGATTCTTTCAGGGTTGACAGCAGGATGAGTTTGGGTTGAGTGGAGAGCCCTGTGCAAATGAGTTAGTTGCAAACCAGGAGGTTTAGTGCACCCTGGTGACAGCATGAATCTGGTGGCAGTTGAGGGCAACAGGACTGGGACTTGCTGCAGTGGGTTAGGGCTTCTGCAGCACCAACACTTTCTGTTTCAGGTACTTTAACCCCACTTCATTGTAACCCATCACTCTGCAAAGAACAGCCTTCAAAGATTTCCAGGTTTATTTGCTCCAAAAGCTTTTCCCAGTAGCTGCTTTTACAAATGGATTCGGAGAAAACTCCAGGAACAAACTTCATTTTGTAAGTTTGTGCTCCCCCTTGTCTCA